CATCTGTAAATTATATGAATGAATCAAGGTTCTGAGAGAAAACAGGTGGCATACTCAAGATAAGGTATTTCCTGGAGGATGTTTACTGAGATGATTGACAGAGATGCTGGGGTTCCAGGACAGTGCCGTACCTTGACTCTTGGGGTATTTGGGCTGTTACTACTCCTAGGCTCTAAAGGAAGAGGATCCAGTTGAACTAGCTGCCTAAAGCAGACGTTGGCATTGTGACGGCAACACAGCCAGCTGTAGACAACTTACTGGGAGGAAATCAAGGAGTTAAGGACCTGACCTCCCTCCTTCTCTGAACTCTTGCCAAAACGTCCCAGTGGCCAAACCCAGTACAAAGCTGGAGGCATATGGCAGATAGATAGGGCTACTCCAGGGCAGAGACCATGCAGACAGGCAAAAGGAAGACGGATCTCCAGTGACATTCACTGAGATCTCTCTACTGCTGTAGCCAACCATTTAATAAGGATGAACCCAGTGGTCGGCAGTATCTTGAGGATCCTGGTGAAAAGGGCGCATGAATAAAAAAACTGCTAAGTAGACTATTAAGTGAGAACAGTTGACTCTCACATGTATTTTGAGTCAGTGTTAGCCTTGGCTCTACTTTATCTTACAGTGTTATTGAACTGACTCAAAAAAAATTGTGAATAGAGATCAAAGCCATCTAAACAGATACATTCGCTTATGTAAATATCCTTGAACTCCTCCCCCCTCCTGTTGCCAAATCCATTCAGCACCTCTAGAGGCTGTTAATACATGTAATGATTGTAATAAACATGGTATTTGCTTTGGTTCCAGCTGGCGTCAGCCACCAAACTCTGTCCATAGTTTCTATTGTTACCTTTGCTTACTAGACAACTGCATTGTTACCATTAGTAGCAACCTTTGTCACAGATTCTTGGTGTTGATCTTTACATACTGCACCCAGTGCTTCCCATAAGAATATTCTCAAAGTCGGACTCAACCATTATACTTTGATTTTTAAAGATATCTTGAATTATTTAATGCAGAGAACTTTGCTTAAAATGTTTAGTACACGTTTCATTTCATGTACTAAAACCTTGAAACGTTTTCATCAGTGCTTTTTAACTTTATTAATCTCTCAAATTAGTAATTCTTTTCGACTTACATATGACTTAAACTGACTGTGAGTTAGGCAATTTTCCATCATTTTTAGAGACATAGAGGTATAATAATTCCTAAGAAAAATATATTTATATTTTGCTGCCAGGAAAATTTGTTACACTTTGTTATCAAGAACTTAAAGCTAGATTTAGTTGTAATAAACTTTTTTTTTTTTTTTGGCTTTTTGAGACAGGGTCTCCCTGTAGTCCCAGCTGACCTGAACTCACTATGTAGACCAGGCTGGCCTTGAACTCACAAGGATCTGTCTGCCTCTGACTCCCGAGTGCTGGGATTAAAGGTGTGCGCCACCACGCCCAGCTGTAATAAACATTTTAAAATAATAAAATTTTAGATTTTAAAATTACAGCAACTTTATATAAGAATTGAAGGACTCTGGATTATAGAATATAGACTAGCCATATAAATTGAGAAGTGAATGCTGAGAAAGTTTTTTTGATATACAGGACAATAATATATAAACCAAAGAATGATTTTTAGAGGGCCCAGCATGGTGGCGCATGCCTATAATCCTAGCACTTGAGAAGCAGGTGGATCTCTGTGAGTTCAAGGCCAGCCTGGTCTACATAGTGAGTTTCTAGGGCAGCTGGGGCTACGGGGAGACCCTGTCTCAAAGAAAAAAAAAGTGACTTTAAAAAATGCTATTTTTATATCTATTACAGAAGATTATTAGTTATTTTTTAATGTAGACCCCAGATATTGTTGGGATTGTTTTACTTGAGAATTAAATAGAAACATGTCTTATACAATTGAGTTTCTTTTCCAGGAAGATGGGAGCAAAAAGATGCCTCTTTAGGCAAATATCGTTAGTTCAACTACAGTATAAACATAATTTAAAAGGGGAAAAGGGGAGGACTCAGCAGTTAACAGCACTGGCTATTCTTGCAAAAGACCAGCACTCACATGGCAGCTAACAACTGTCTGTAACTCCAGTTCCAGGGGATCTGACACCCTCTTCTCTCCTCCTTAGGCATTGCACAACACAGGTGCACTAACACACATGCAGGCATAACACTCATAAAAATAAGTAAATCAAAAAAAAGAAAGGAAGAAGAAAGAAAGGAAGGGAAGAAAGAAAGAAAGAAAGAAAGAAAGGAAGGAAGGAAGGAAGAAAGAAAGAAAGAAAGAAAGAAAGAAAGAAAGAAAGAAAGAAAGAAAGAAAGAAAGAGAAAAAGAAAGGGGGCAGGGGAGAAAAACAGGGCCCAGACATAAACAGGTGACTTAGCGGGGCAAGATAAGGTCCAGACCCCTACGTTTTTCTAAAAGTTCCATTGATGATTCTGTTTGCTGTCAAGTTTGAAAACCAGTGATGTAGTCTAGGGTGTGACAAGGGGTGTCAAGGATATAGAGGTACTATGGGAGATGATGCCAGAAAGCTGTGTATTGAAGCCAAATGATAACTAGAGTAGCATTGTTTTGGTATTACCAGTTTGTATTTTGGTTATTTTTTTTATATATAACCATAATTTCTCCAATTTGTTGCTGCAGTTGTTTTGAGACAAGATCTCGGTATGTAACCTAGACTGGCTTCAAAATTCATGATCCTTCTGCCTCAGCCTTCCAGATGCTAAGATTACAGGTGTGTGTCACCGTGTCTGATATGATCCTTTCTTTTAGATTTCAGTCAGACGTCTCTCTAAACAAAACTGGCCAGTGGGTGAAATTAAAGCAAAACATGTTAAGTGAAATGAAGAAGAGAAACCTGTCAGTGCTGCCATATAGACCCCAAAAGTTAAAAGCACACCATTTTGTTATTGCTCTCACTCTTGTCAGTTGACTGGACTCATTGTAGCAGTTCCTAGACTACCTAAAGAATCAGTTGGTCTTCGTTGTCCAAGCTCAATGGCCCACATAGCTTTCAGATGAGAATTCAGCTGGTGCTGTCAATTGCAGCATCTTCATGAACTCCTCAGGGCATCACAGCTGGGTCCTGAGAAGAAGCACCTCAAGAGCAGGCACTTGAAAGGGCCCAGGCTGTGAGGCTGCTTATGAACTAGCTTTGACAGTCCTAGACATTCCTTCCAATTCTGTAGGTCATATTCAATGAAAGGGGAATTGTGGTCACTGAACCATGACAGGGGAATAAAGTCCAGGGCTGGAGAGATGGCTCGGTGGTTGAGAGCACTGGCTGTTCTTGCAGAAGACCCAGGTTAGAATCCCAGCGCCCACATGGCAGCTAACAACCATCTGTAACTCCAGTTCCAGGAGATCCCAATGCCCTATTCTCTCCTCTGCTGGCATTGTACAACACAAGTGCACTTACATGCAGGCAGTGCACTCATATACAGAAAATAAACACTTTTTTTAAAAAAGGAAGGAGAATAAAGTCCATCCTTTGATGAGGATAGTGTGTACATACAAGGAGAGAAAGAAATTGATGGCAACCATTTATAGAAACTTGCTACTCCAATACTAAGGCACATGTACCAACTAACCTGGAAAGCCAAATTTCCGGAAATTTAGATAGTAATACAGTTAGACAAAAGAAGGGCAAAAGGATCCGAATAATGTAAATTTCATGTAAAAATTTTTATTCATTGGGCTAGAGAGATGGCTCAGCATTTAAGAACATGGGTTGTTCTTGCAGAAGACCCAGGTTTTCAAACCCACATGGCAGCTAACAACTGTCATAAGTCCAGTTCCAGGGGATCCGACAGCCTCTTCTGTCCTGTGGGCATTGCACGACTCGGGTGCACTTACCTACACGCAGGCAATACTCGCATACACATAAAATTAAAAATAATAAATAAAATGTTTTTTAATTTTATTTATTGACTATCTGAAAATAAAGAATTCACCCTCACTGGGTGTGGTGGCCAGCCTGGTCTACATAGTGAGCTCCAGGACAGCTGGGGCTACAGGGAGACCCTGTCTCAAAAAGACCAAAAA